AATTAGCATCCTCAAAGTAAAACTCTTCACCTACTGGCACTTAGCAAAGGGGACAGAGGTTTAATTCCGTATCATCTCTCCGACAGAGTGAGGCAAGCCAGGAGACAAAAAATTCATTCATTCCCGGTCACATTTTCTTGGTGTGGTGAGGGGAGGAGACTCCTCATGACAACAGTGAAAACTAGGCCATTCCTCACACTAATATCTGATTGAACAGCAGGGTCACATTCACCAAGTAGGTGCCAAAATAATAAGCAAGATTAAAGAGAAACACCACACTAATAAAAAGTACAAAATCTCTTCTGGAAAGGATGCTCCGTAAAATAGAGTGAAAAGCACAAAGTAATTCTGCATATTATAAGATATCTGGAATTTGAATATTCAAAGCATGGCAGAGGTTTCCTGGGAGATAGAGAGAGGAAGGAAGGAAAGTCATTTTTAAACGGGTATGAAGTTTTTGTTAAGGATGGTTTAAAAACTTTGGGGTACAGCTAGCAGTGATAGTTAAATAATCCTGTAATTATATTAATGCACTGAATGGTATACTAACAAATGGCTAAAATATTTTTTTATTTATTTTTTTTTATCGATTGCATTGCATAATGTGACACAGTTTTATAGGCACTGTGATTATAAGTTCTTCAAAGGAAGAGTTACTGTCATTGGGAATCCTTAGGATTAACTCACATCCCAGCAGAACAGTGGGTTCAACCTGGAGCTACCTAAGCAGCAATTCAAAGAACCCAAACCCCCGAGCTGCCCCCAAAACAAACAAACAAACAAACTAGAATAGATAGAGAACAACAAGGAAAGCTTAGAAACAGACAGGAAACGGTCAGCAGGGATGCACTTAAAATATTTAATATTATCTATTTTTTACCCACAAAAGAAAAAGAAAATATTTACTATGCCGATGTAACAAGTGATGATTACTGGATATTCAAATACAAAGGAAAAAGCTAGATCTCATACCATGAAAACCAAATTAACTCAAAATGGAAGACAGACGTAAATGCAGGAACGAATTCTTTGAAGAAAACAGGCATAAGTCTCTTTAGTCTTGGATTACATATTAGTTTCTTTGTGGTGGCAACAAAAATACACACATCCAAATAAAAAGGAGATAAATCAGGCTTCATCAAAATTTAAAAAAAAAGAAACAACTTCTATTTCAAATGTTGCCATCAGGAAAATGGAATGACAGTCCCCTGAATGGGAGAGGTTATTTACAACCATATAAAGAACTCATATCCAAAATACACAGAGAACTCTTGTAAATTAAAAACAGAAAGAATAATTATACATTTCCTCAAATTATGCATATTAAATATATCAACTATATATTTCCTTAAATAGGATTATATTTATATGCAAAACTGCCAATAAACACATGCAAATATGTTCAATTTTACTAAGGAAGTACAAACTAAAATGGGATATAACTTCACACCTACTACAATGATTCTCATCAAAATGATGGACCATAACAAATAGTGACATGAATGTAGGGAAATTGAAGCCTTTACATGTTTGGAAAATAGTCTGGAAATCCTACAAATGTTAAACTAGAGTTAGCATATGAATCAGTAACTCTATTATTAGGTATATATTTCAGAAAAATGAAAATGTATGCCACACAATAATTTATGCATCAAAGATCACAGTTGCATGATTCATAATAGTGAAGAAGAGGAATGGATTCAAATGGCCATCACATGGTGAATGCAAGTAAATTGTGTTATGTCCATACAATAAAATGTTGCTCTGTCAGAAAAAGGAATGCTGTCCTGACGTGTGTACAACAACAAAGAGGAACTTTGACAGCGCTAGGCTAAGTGAAAGAGGCCAGGTATAAAATACCATTTATTACATGAAGCTATGTAGCTGAAATATGCAGAAGAGGCAACTCGAAACAGACAGAAAACAGACTAGTAATTTCAACAACCCAGGCTGGGCATGTTCAAGGTAGAAGTCAAGAACTCCATCTGAGTCTTCCAAGTGTGAGGCAAGGGTCTAAGCACTCATGCCATCTTGTCACTGCTTCGCTAGGTCCAAACTCAAACTGGTACACATACAGAATGTCAGTGTTGCAGGCAGTGGCTTAACTGCCTGCACCACAACAATGGCTCAGGATCAGTAGTTATGGTAGGGTGGGGGGGTTGAGGGAAAATGGAAAGTAACTGCTAGAAGGAACAGGATTTTTCACAAAATAATAAAACGTTCTAAACTGACTGTGATGAATATACTAAAAATCACTGAATTATATAAATTAGTGGGTGGTAGGCCATGTGAATTATGTATTAACAAAGCTATTATGTAAAAATAAGTGCTCAATAAGTGATAACCATTATTGCTTTAAAATTACTCTGAGGGAGAAAGACAAGTCAGGAAAGGTAAGACTCTTTCATTCTGACTCATAGAAAATTTTCTATGTATTTTCTGACTATGAAAATACATTAACTATTAAAAACTTAGACATAGGAACAAGGTGGCCTACATAGATAGACACTAAAGGAATCACAAAGCTAGAAAGGGGGCTGGACTGCCTGGAGCCCTTTGAGGAATGGCAGTGAAGTGAGATGACGGAGATTCCATGCTGGGCATGGAGCAGAAGAGGCCTGCGGCACAGACAGGAAGTCTCCTGTCCGACAGAAGGACTGGGGTCAACAAGGATACAGTGTGTGTTTACTTCAAGTACTATGATTCTGTTGTTCATTCCTTTCTTTGTGCCCCAGCCTTCTGCTAGCACTTCCTTTCTGCTTGAAATATGAGTTTAATTTTTATTTATCTTATTTATTTGAAAGGTGTAGAGACAGGCAGAAGTCTCTGAGCTACTGGTTTACTCTCCAAATACTGAGCTGGGTTAAGTTAGAGCCAGAAGTTAGAAACTCAATCCAAGTCTCCCGCATGGGTGGCAGAGACTCAACCACTTTATCTCTCATCTGCTCTCTCCCGGGCTGTATATTAGCACTAGTCTAGACTCAGCAGTGGGTTGAACCTCGGCACTCCAATACAGTTGGGACGTATCCCAGTCCCTAGTAATATCTTAACTTCTATGTCAAACAGCTGCCACTGAATGTTATGGTTGAAGTAAAAATGTTCACATACCCTTACACGCTATTCAGTGAAAATAGGGGAAATAAAACGGAGCCTTGCAAAAACTCATGGAACCTAGTCAATCTCCTCAGACCTAGTCTGTCATGAGTGAGAGGCCACTAACATCAACATCTGTAGCAGAGGGGATGGATATTCTAGGCATATCTTCAATTTACCTCACCTAGCCTCATCAATGGATATTTGCTACAGCTTCAAATGGATATGAAAGCAGTAAGGGGATCTCAGCATTTCACATGCCATAACCAAGCTCTCAATAGGATGGGACATGTGCACTCCTAATAGCTTTATCCTGCTGTATTCCATACTGCACGGATGTAATCTGCCACATTGGCTGCAGGAGAGGAGTCCCATTCCTCATACCAGAGCACTTCTCTTACCTAAGATGCGGCTCCACCTGAGAGGCATGCCACAGATCAGCTAGTAGCAAAATTAGAAAATGATTTTGATTTAAAAAAAATACAAGTTGAGTGCATTTCCACTCATAATCTGATAAGCTTTGAGTGGGAGAGGAAGAGCTGCAAGTACACTGTGTGCCAAAAATTATACAGAACTTTCCTTATGTGTCAAGCATGAAGTAGCTTAGAGTTTCTTAGCCATCTGCACATAAGATGCTTTGATGTTTTCTGGCTCCTGCTCCATGCTGCAAGTCTGTGAACTATTACTTTATATCCTAGAAAAGGTTTTGAAGCTTCCCCAGCCTAGAGGAGTAGGGAACACATGTGAAATGCTATGGAAATGACAGACACTGGTCTTAAAATAGCTTTAACAGCCACAGCACTGGGTAATAGGAAATTAGATGCATTCTCTATTGTATGAACTCCTCATGTAGAAATGAATATCTCAAGATCACAATTTACACTACTCTGTGTACTGATCTAAGAGCCAAATGTTACCTAGAAAGCAGCTAAGAAGTCAGTGAAAACTTTCTTTTATCTTTTTGAGAAAATCTTAACACTTGTTTATAAGTGTTCTGTCTATATACCACCCAGAGTGCTTACAGATTTTGTTGAAGACCAGCAAAATGGTCAAAGAAATACTGTGATAGAATCCAATAGAACTACTGGCTCTGCTTTTCACTCTTTAAGACAAGCAGTTATTGGGGTGTGTGTGTGTGTGTGTGTGTGTGTGTGTGTGTGTGTGTGTGTACTCATATGTGATATGTATATGCATTTTTTTATTGCAGTGGCATTTCAGTTTTTAAGTGTACCCTTTGTAAGCATTGATACTGTTCTTACGAAGTGCATGGTAACTGCTTTGAATCCCAGGCACACACCCAGATTCATTCCCTTTCTCCTCAGGCAGTTTACACAATCTACAACACTTTCATTTTAACAGTTCTCATTACTGGTATCATTTAATACTTGAGGGTTTGCTCACGTCAACATCAATCTTGCTGAAAGTGCAAACACTTATTTTGTTGACATAACACAGTCTGAATCCATAGCTACTAAACTTTAAGTATGTAAAAACTATTTCTTCCATGACATGCCACCATCAGTGCTAAGATTGACTCTGCCAGTTATCTATCCTTGTCACAGACACAAGGCAAGGATCCTTCATGGGATCTCACCACCCTCACTTCCAGTGCTCCCATCAGCCTTGCCATTCATATGCACTACAACCATCTCAGACACACTTGGCATTTTCAGCCCAAACACCCTAAAGAAGGATCTAAATGCTGGATCCAATGTTGGATCCGGTGTTCGATCCAATGATTCCCATTTCCTCACTAATGAGCAGCACTATACCATAACTTCATCCTGACTAATCAGCAGGGAGATAAGCTTGTCTCTCAGAACACATTTAGAATAAAATGTTCTCCCCAATGAAGTTGTAAGTATCTGTAGATAAACTAAAGCCAAGCAATGCAATACTTTCCTTACCTGATTGGAATACCTCATGCTCACATTACGTTGATTCTGTAGTGGCACGTAACGCTGGACAGGATCAATGTCCCTGGGACTGATTAGCTCATCAGCTGAAAAATGCGAGAGGAAGTAATATTATAAAACATGCATTTCCACATCAATGATCTGAATAGACATTTCTCAAACGAAGATACACGAATGGCCAACAAATACATGAAAAAATCACAGCATTAATTAACAGGAAATGCAAATCAAAACAAGAGTAAGTAATCATTTTCACCCCAGCCACAGTGGTATCATCAAAAGACACAACATAACAAATATTGGCACAAATGCAAAAGCAGAGGAACTCTCTTACACTTTGGAAGGAATGTAAATTACTACATCCATTATTGAAAATAAAATAAACCTTGAATAGAACCCCAATATGCTCCAGCTATTTCACTATTAGGAACAACAATAAAGGAACTGAAATTTGCATGTCAAAGGGACACTTACACTCAAATATTTATTGTAGTACTATTCACAACAACCAAGATGTAGAACCAAAGTAAGTGTCTATTAACAAATTAATGGAGAAAGAAAATGTGGTATATCTTATTTATACAACAATATATATTATCCAGCCATAAAATGATGAGATTCTGTCAAATATAGCTTCACGGATGGAACTAGTGACACATGAGTCATTCAGTAGCATGTTATTCAACTTCATGGTGTTGCTGATTTGATCTTTTTTCTTGCTGTTGTTGGTTTTATTTTGTGGCTTTTCATTTAAGGGGATGTATAGTAACTGTGTAATGGAGACTATCATATCCAGTAGCATGTTATTTAACTTCATGGTGTTGTTATTTTTTTTTTCTTCCTGTTGTTGAATTTGTTTTGTGGCTTTTCACTTAAGGGGATTTAACAGTGTAATGGAGACTGTCATATCCAGATGTGAGGATACAATGCAGTATGCATCTCCACTTCCAGACAAAGATGGACTCGAATGAAACTGTTTATTATATCTTGATAATAGGAGGCTGTACTACTCTCTGCCATTGCCCATGCCTGCATTGATGGACATATGACTGTCTATGAAGAACTATACTATAGTAACTATATAGGGGAACTCAGTGGGGTGGATTGTGGAGAGGTTAAGGGAAATCCCGGGCCTATAGAACTATATCATAAAATGATAATAATAAAAAGAAGTGGGCCTGGTGGCGTGGCCTAGTGGCTAAAATCCTTGCCTTGAACATGCCAGAATCCCATATGGGCGCTGGTTCTAATCCCAGCAGCTCCACTTCCCATCCAGCTCCCTGCTTGTGGTCTGGGAAAGCAGTCGAAGACGGCCCATGCTTTGGGACCCTGCACTCATGTGGGAGACCCAGAAGAAGTTCCTGGTTCCCGGCTTTGGATTGACGCAGCACAGGCCGCTGCTGTCACTTGGAGAGTGAATCATTGGACAGAAGATCTTCCTCTCTGTCTCTCCTCCTCTCTGTGTATCTGACTTTGTAATAAAAATAAATAAAATCTAAAAAAAAAGACATAAAATAAGAAATAAGAATGAAAAGTTAAATAAGCCAGGCATGCAAAGACAAATACTGCATGTTCTCTTTTAATGTGTAAACTAAGAAGTTCAGAAGTTGAAACTAGAATAGTGATTACCAGAGCCAGCTACACAGTGTGAAGCAGGGGGAGAGGAGGAAGATACTTCATGGGCACAAGGGTTAAGTTGGATGAGAAGAATTAATTTCTTATGTTTCATAGCATAGTAGGGTAGCTGTGGTTGACAACAATTGAACATATTAAAATAGCTAGCAGAAACATATATGAATATTCCCAAAACAAAGAAATAGCTATACCAGTTACTCTGGTCTGATTAACCCACACTGTCCAATATGTGTACAAAAGTCACACTGTTGGAGCTGGCACTGTGGCATAGTAGGAAAGGTGCCACCTGCCATATCAGCATCCCAATGGGGCACTGGTTTGTGTCCTGGCTACACCACATCAGATCCAGCTCCCTGATAATGACCTGGGAAAAACAGCAGATGGCCCGGGTAGCTGGGCTCCTGTCACCCATATGGGAGACCAGGAGGAAGCACCTCACTCCTGGTTGAGGCCATTTGGGGAGTGAACCAGTGGATGGAAGATCTTTTTCTGTATCTTCCTCACTCTGTAACTTTGATTTTCAAACAAATAAATATCTTTTTTCCAGATTAAAGTCACATTGTTCCCTACATATCTGCATAATTAACTATGTATCATTAAAGTATAAAAATATGTTTAAGTATGTATTTGCACAATATTAAAACCAACTAAACATAACAGACATCTACATTAAACTTCACTCAAAAGAAAACAATATACAAATCTGCCATATCAGAGCATAAGAAAATAGATTGGTTAGAATTTTGTCAGAATTACAACCTTTTGTACCTTTTAGAATACCATAAAGAAGAGAATGACAGCCCAAAGTATGAGAGAAAATACTTGTAAATATATATCATGTAAGAGATTTGTATACAGAATATATAGGGAATGTTCACAACTCAATAATAAAAATCCCAATTTCTCCGTGGCAGGCATGTGGCCTAGCAGTTAAGATGCTAGTTAGACTTTCTACAGCCTACACTGAAATGCCTAGATTCATTCCCATCTCAGGCTCTAGATTGTAACTTCCTGCTAACATGAATTAGAGACAGCAACCACTGCTCAAGTAAACTGGGTTTCTATTTTCTGCAAGGGAGACCTGGATCAAATTTCTAGCTCCCAGTCCTGTGGCCTTGTGGCTTTTGGTAAGCAAACCACCAATGGGAATCTGTCTTTCTCTAAAATTGATCAATCAATTAAACAAGAAACAGTTCTACTGTCTAAATAGAAATTTCTTTAGAGAAGTTAATGAGCAATATACACATGAAATGATACTCAGCAACAATAATCACTTGGGGAATGCTAATCAAAACCTAATGCAATACATGTTCCTGCTATATGGATAGATACAATTAAACAGGTAAGAACAAGTATTTGAATCCCCATATGGTGTTGGTAGAAAAGAAAATTTATACAATTGGTTTGGAAAATAGCTTGAGAGTTACTCAAAATATTAAATCTAAGAGTCAGTCAGCAAGTGACTAATCAATTCTTTTTCCAGGTATATATTCAAGAGAAACAGATGTGTCAAGCAGTTATGTTTATATGAAAGTTCATAGCAGCGTCATTCATAATACTCTTTAAATGGTGATAACTTTAATTTCTACTCACTGCTGCATGACTAAATAAAAACGTGGTGAAGTGCTAACATAGGCTATACTTAGATGAACATCAAGCACATTCTATGCAATAGACAAGCAAGAAACAAAAGGCTACACACTGCACCTACAATTCAAAGTATATACAATGACCAAAATAGGAAAATCCAAAGGAATAGAAAGTAGATTAATAATTGTCTAGTACCAAAAGAAAGAGTGTAATAATGAGAGAAAAATAGGGAGTGATTGCAACACCGAAGGCTGTCTTCTTGCAGGATAATGAAATTGTTTCAAAATTTGTTTCTGATCATGGTTGCATAACTCTATGTAATTATGTTAAATGTCAGTAAATAGTAAACTTTAAATTGATGAAATGTATGACATGTTAGTTATACCTCAATAAAACTAGTAGAAATAGTGCTTTTAGGTTAAGTGGTACAGGGGTAAGGAATGTTCATCCTGCAAGCCATATGAAGCCCATAAACTTCTCCGTTGTTACCCTGCCAAGGCAACCACAGGCAGGACTCAAAATTCATCAAATCTATATATCCTTAGAGCAGGATAATTTTTAAATGGATAGTTTTGTATGGCCCATGTTATAAATGATGTTATAAATACCCAAAATAACCTTAGCAGGAAAAAAATCTCCCCATCCCTGACCTAGAGGTTACCTGGATCATGTCCATATCAGAATGCCTGAGTTTGATAACCAGGCACTGAAAACATGCCTTTCTGCAAATACAGAACTTGGGGGGAGATGACAATGGCTCATGGCACTTGGGATTCTGCCACCAAAATGAGAGACCTAGATTGAGTTCCTGGCTCCTGTCTCCTGGCTCCTGGTTCCTGGCTCCTGTCTCCTGTCTCCTGGCGCCTGGCTCCTGGTTCCTGGCTCCTGGTTCCTGGTTCCTGGCTGCCGGCTCCTGGCTCCTGGTTCCTGGCTCCTGGCTCCTGGCTCCTGTCTCCTGGCGCCTGGCTCCTGGCTCCTGGCTCCTGGTTCCTGGCTCCTGGCTCCTGGTTCCTGGCTCATGGCGCCTGGCTCCTGACTCCTGCTTTCAGCTCCAACAGGAATCTCAGGAGTGGACCAGTAGATAGGAATTTGCTCGCTCTCTCATTCTTCCTCTACCTCTCAAGTAAACACAAAAACTTAAAAAAAAAATTACAGCTCATGTTGCACGTTTTATCTAAGTACTATATATTTTTTATTTTGAACAATGTATTCATCCCAGAGACAAAGACAAGGAGTATACACAATTTTATTCACTGGGTCACTCCTCAAATACCTACAAAGTCCAGGACAGGTTGAATGAAGCCAGAAGCCAGGATCTCAAACGGTTTCCCATGTGAAAGATAGCAACTCAAACTGGAGCTATAACCTGTTGCCTCCCAGGGTTCCCATTGGCAGGAAACTGAAATTCAGTACAGAGCTGGGACTAGTGCTGAGCATTCTAATAGGGGTTAGGGCATCCCAGCTGGCTGCTTAATTACTAGGCCAAACAAAAACCCCCAATGCTCTGCTTTTAGACAGTAAATCTACAAAACTGAGTATCGAGTGAATGGTTATAAAATCCTTTGTAGCTTTGGGAGTATTTCTACATTATATTTCAACTCTGGGGTACCTTCCAGGCAATTCAACAATGTTACTCAATAGACTAAACCACCAAGAAAGATGATCTTTTAATAACAAGTAAAAAATATGAAGTGTAGGCTAACAAGACAAAGGAGGAGGAGCAGAAGCTGCCTGTACTAGCAGCAGCACTCGAGTGTTTATTACATTCCTGACAGGAAGCACTTCCCATATGTTAATCCATTAATCTCCCAACAACATGATCAGTTTATAGATGACAAAACAGGGGCACTGAGTGTGGCTG